AAGTTCTGCCCAATGACTGTATAGACTCCTCTAAGCAGGGCACGCAAGGGCAGATCCTCGCCTGATGTGACGTGCTATTGCTTGATTGACTTTAACTGACTAGGGTGGTTTACATAAGTTTAGGATGTGAGCTCAGTCTCCTTGTGACCACACATTCAACAGTGATCCTTGCAGCTCTCAAATTCTGCTTGCAGCCAGACACCTATAGATGAATATATAGTTAATTTGACTGAAAGCAATAAGGGACTGACATGCACCTTTTGAGGTGAGGGTACGATTTGAAATGTCATAAGTGCTGAAATGATTTTGCAAGCCCAAAGGCATGAAGTTTCTGTTTTGTTTCTGCATAAAAATTATACCCACCCCCCAAACAGATTAATTGATAACAAATTTCACTGAAAATGTTGCAAATTTTTCAAGTCTTGTGCTACCCAGCGCCATAGAAAAATAAACACTATTTTTTATGATTTTGAAGAAGGGACACTTTTGATTCAGACTTCACAAGAAATCTCTTAGGAAACTTGTGGAGTTTAGGCATAACCCTCCCTCCCTCCCCACATCTCCAAACAATTTTAGCAATTGTTAAACATGATTTTATCAATAAGGAGGATAAGTTGAGTTTTGACATTTACATTTGGCTTCTATTATGATTGCCCTCAAGACAATCTTGCTTGAATCACAGGCCTCACTATTCCCCAGAAGAATCTCCAGTGGCCTAGCTAGGTTTGAGGGCCTGTCTCCTAGAAGAAAAATGTGCTGCTTTCTACCATGAAGAAAATGTGAGAGAAGATGGATGTGCCCTGGGCCCTCTCAATTATGTATTCTAACAGGCGTGTACACAAATGAGGAGCATCTAACAAAATATTCCACATAATTAAAATGGATGGCAAGAACTGCTGGATGTCTAAAACAATCTGTATTTAAACAGCAGATGTTTTTGTTTAAGCCTGTTGCTTTAAAGGAAGCTATGTCTTCTGCAGTAAGATGCCACAGAATCTTGAAATCCTGAGTTTCTAGCGTCTCTGAAATGGTTGCCAAGAGGAATGATTGGAGCTTTCAATCAATGATCACAGACTGGAAATACCATTCCTGAGCAGGAAGCAATGGCAAAGCATCGTAGGAGTGTGGTGACAAGATGATGTACAGTAAATCCTTAGCTTTGACTAAAACGTACATGGCAAAAGTATTTTACCCATGTCTGTCTGGAGCTTCCCATTTGGCTAGAAGCAATAAGGTTAGCAAGTAAAAGCTAAATATATAGAAACACTATAAAATGGATCTGATTTGATTTCTGACCTGATGTTAATATAACTTTCCCTTTACCAGGTGTTGTTTTAGAGAGAAAGAGTGTGTATGTGTGTGTGTGTGTGTGTGTGTGTGTGTGTGTGTTTGTGGTGTGTAGGGAAAACAGACACAGAGGGGGGAAAAGCAAGAAATCCAAGAAGTAGCCTGTGAGCATAGCATATGACCCCTGAAAAATCTAGAAAGGGGGCTTTTTGGGATCTAGTTTTGGCTGGTTTGGGGCAGTCAGCTAAGAAGTTATTTTTATTTCTGGTTCCTCCTGCATTCAGATAAGCAGGATGTTGTACATTATTTGTATATAAATAAGGTTGCAGAAAATACCAGACTCCATCAATTTCTGTCCCTAACTAGAACATCCCCAGAACCCTGAACTCTGACTAGCTGCTGGGTCAAAAAAGGCAGCACAAGTGAGAGAGAAAACCAGTGGGAAAGGCACAGTGCAAAGAGAGAGTCTGCTAGAGTCAGACTCCTTGAGGGCAAGTAGTCAGGGCAGCTGCTTTGCAAAAGGCCATGTACACTGTGTGGGTGGCGAGAAGCTGAGCCTGAGGAGCAGAAAGCAGACTGTTTTCTCTAACTCTGAAGCATGTTGCAGCAGCTTAGTGAGATTGTTAACCCTCCAATAGGGAAGGCCTGGCCATGTTAATTATAGAAAGGGGAAATTGGGAGGCAAAACTCATTTTTATTTTAATTGTATATGTAACGGATTCGGTCACAGAGATCCCTTGGGACTGTCACCTGATGTGCTGAAATAACCTCTGAGCCTGTTTTCCCTGCCAGCTTCCAGAACCCTATCTTGCTGAGCCAGACACGCTAGCCTGCTGCAACACAGACCCAGGGTCTGGGCCACAGCCCAAGACTTAACTGAAAATAGCTCAGCAAGTTACCTGTCTCCAGCACCCAGACACCCAGTTCCCAATAGGATCCAAACCCCAAATAAATCTGTTTTACTCTGGATAAAACTTATACAGGGTAAATTCATAAATTGTCTGCCCTCTATAACACTGATAGAGAGATATGCATGGCTGTTTGCTCCACCAGGTATTAATCACTTACTCTGGGTTTATTAATAAACAAAAGTGATTTTAAGTACAAAAATAGGATTTAAGTGGTTTCAAGTAACAGCCAGAACAAAGTAAGTCATAAAGCAAAATAAAACAAAACATGCAAATCTAAGCCTAATACATTAAGAAACTGATTACAGGTAATATCTCACCCTCAGAGATGTTCCAGTAAGCTTCTTTTACAGACTAGACTCCTTCCTAGTCTGGGCCCGTTCCTTTCCCTGGGTACAGTCTTTGTTAGATCCAGCAGACATCTCAGGGGTTCTCTCATGACTGGCAGCCCCTTTTGTCCAGCTCCACCCCCTTTTATAGCTTTGGCACAAGGCAGGAATCTTTTGTCTGTGCTTGTCCCCACTCCCGCCTCATCAATGGAAAAGTACAAGGATTAAGATGGATTCCAGTATCATGTGACATGGTCACATGTCACTGTAAGACCTCTAGTCTCCATTCTTCCTGGGTTGGCCCACACGTACATAGAAAGGTTTGCAGGTAAATAAACCATTTACAACCAGTTGTCCTAGTCAATGGGAGCCAAATCAAGATTCTAAACCACGATTAATGGCCCACACTTTGCATAATTACAATAGGACCTCAGAGTTATACTTCATATTTCTAGCTTCAGATACAAGAATAATACATGCATACAAATAGGAGGAATATATTCAGTAGATTATAACCTTTGTTATGATACCGTACAAGAAACCTTTTGCATAAAGCATATTCCAGTTACATCATATTCACACTCATAAGCATATTTCCATAAAGCATATAGAGTGCAACATGGCAGTATACGTTGAATGCTGTTTGATTTTAGTCAAACTGTTTTAGTTAAATTGTCTCAGCTGGTATGATTCACTGACTTTTTTTTTATTTAAATGTGATAATTGGGAAAGAGTCATTTATATTTTGCTATTCTCAGTTTTGTATTTTCATGTAACAGGGCTTTTAAAAAAAAAAATCTATATACTTAACTGAGTGGCTGGTTAATTGGTTAGCTGACTAGCTACCTGAAGTGATTTCAACAGAGGAGGAGGAAGAGTCTGCATGGATTTCAACTGAAGATTTCTATAAGCAAGTGGAGGGCAGATGTTGCTTTACGATTCAGCAGACTACAGATTTGGTGATCAAGGACTCAGACTCAGGTGAACTCAACCTGAGCTTTTGGGAACTCGGAGTTTCTCCTCACTATGTTTCTATGGGGACTGACTTGTTTAGATTTAATTTGTTTTTTATTTGTGTTATGTATAACTGTGAAGATAATGTATGTGGCTTATAAAGTAGCCATGTTATGTTGTAGAAAATTAAGTTGTAGTTATTAATTATTATGTTTCTTTATCATACGATTTTATAAAATTGGTACTTGAAAATTAAGTTAATTCCTTTTGTTCATTTTGGGACTTGAATGTGGGAAGGTTGATCCTGTGTAATCCTTCCTGAAAATCCTTGGAGACTGAACTCTGGGTCTCCAGGTGCTTTTCCATGGGGGCTGGGGTTTTTTAGACACTGGGGAAGGGCAATAAAGTAATCTCTAGCCCACCCAAAGGTTACACTTACACATTACATAACCAATTACACTCTTATTTTTCACTGCTGCTTGGCACAGTGCCATTTCATTCCAAACCTATTGAAGTACAAATTATTGGGGACATGTATTTTTGGCTCTATTATTTTTGCTTAAGGTGTATTTTAAGTAGTAGTGGTTATTTGGCCTTTAAAATTAAGAATAAATAATGTAATTTGACTTAATGGAAATAAAATGTTGTAAGTAATGGTATAAAACGGAATGAAGGGACATTTAGACTGCATATAAGTAAAATACAATTATTAGACTGTATAATAGCCACCAGATAGAAGAGGTGACTGTTTCTGTAATATGATTTATTTCAGAGTAAATCAGACAAATTTGAATATACTATATAACCTGTTATTGTATTGACAGGGAATAAAAAAAGATATATATATAGATAGATAGATAGATAAAGATCTGCCACTTGTGTGACTCTGGGCAAGTCACAGCTCTCTCTCTGCTTCAGTTCCCCATCCGTAAAATAGAGAACATAATTCTGCTCTCACTAAGGATATATTTACACAGCAAAAGCTGTGCACAGGCTAGTGGATCCAGCTTGACTCCAGCTAGTCTAGGTAACAATAGCAGTGAAGACTGCACAACATGGGTCATACAAGCCTGGCACAGACTAGAGGTAAATACTCAACTTGCTAGCCCATGCTGTGCTGGCTTCAAGCTAGCTTGGTAGGCTAGCCTGTGCACAGCTTTTGTTGTATAGAAGTGCCCTATGGGTGTTGTGAAAGTACATTCATGTATGTTTTAGACGTGCGCAAATACTAGAGTAATGAGCGGAAGAATAAAACAAACAAATAGCAAACTTAATCCAATTTTCAAGACGATTTCTTAATATCGTTATTAAAAATCATGAGCACAGCCTTAGTTTTCCAAACATGCCCCTTAAAGTACTCAAAAGGAAGTTTAGCTATATCTAAATAGCCACACTTATTTGCAAGCAGCTCAAATTATATTAACACAACTCTCTGCAGTGTTAGGTCTGTGAGCAACTCAAAGCAGATCACAGGTTGCATAATAAAATAAAATGTGTACTCTTATAACTAAACAAAGCTTACCTTATTCAAGTCAAAGGTATTAAACACTTGATCAACATATGTGTCTGCCTGTGGATTCAGACCATGCAGATCCAGAAGTGTCTTGAATTCATAGAGACTAAGTTGCCCAGATGGGCACTCCCTCATAAATTTGGTGTACCATTGATGGATCTCTGGAGCATTGATATCATCTGCTGCTGATGCACCGGCTCCCATAGTATCACACAATGAGTATCTTTTTTTCAATGTTTATTCATAAACTTATGTTTCTCAACTTCAGTGGCTTGCACCCAACTAAAATTCAAACTCAAGCCCTGCCCCTAAAGAGCTAATGTAAACCTCTTATGAGACAGAGCCGATACAAGCCAATTAAAAATAGAAACCTAAGTGAGATTACCGTCACTACCCAGTTTTAAACCAGAAAGGTTTTGTAACATGTTTAAAGTCAAAGCTAATAGGGATACTTAAAAGATTGTTTCTTCAAATTCCCAAGCATGTGATTCTATCCAGTAGTTTTTTTCCACTGATAGTTAAGGCAACTACTAGCAAAAATATGTTAGCATATCCTCAAACTGGTTGTCTTTAAACTGTATGGTAACTATTAATGACACACAAAAGTCTAATCCCTAAATGGTTGTAACTAATGGCTACAATGCATGTTGTAAGTAAGAAGGAAAAGGTCAGGAATTAACGGGCATGTGTGATGCGAAGGAGAACTCAGACAGCAAAGCTGTGGGTGAGTGGAGCCTTTTCTAAACCAAAGTTCTGTTGGACTCCCTCCTGATGTGCTTCCTGAATAGTGCTCAGAACCCAATTTCTTTGACTTCTAGTCTTCTAACACTGATGGATTAAATAAATCCAGCACTCTGCCCTGGTTTTATTCCAGGTCTCAGACATACAGTGGTGCTTGTATGTTACCTCCATCATAATTTGCTTATACAGTTTTGTATAGGACATACACAAAAAGTGCTACATCCTTTAAAGGGATCCCGAAACAGATATTACATTATACTGGAATGGTATTTCATGTACTTAGCAATAGCTAAAAAGCCTATAAACAGCAGCTAAAATATATGGGGGGAAATGGATTTTGTAGTTCAGTAAAGGACTGTCCCACCTCTATGGAGAGACTGCAACAGAATATAATAAATGTAAAATAGAGAACGTAATTCTGTCTCTCACTAAGGATATGTTAGTTAGTATGTTAATAGCTGATAGTATAACTGATGGGAAAAGGTGGTGGTTTTATGGAATGCAATGGGGGCTAAAATTTATAATCTGCTGTAGTTTAACAGCTTCTATTAAACCCACAGACAAAGCATTCACTGACACTGCAGCAATTCCACAAAAATCACCTATCCCCAAAGCCACTGGTGATAGCACATTACTGCTTTTATAAACAGGAAAAAATACGAAACAATAAAAAAAAATAACTTTCGACTGTGTGGCTGGATTAAGGAAATATAAGAGAACACTGCCAGTTTTGAGAGAGTTTAAATGATGATTTGGGATCAGGTTGTGTACGGTAAACAAAATGAAGCAATCCAAAAACTGCCATCACCAGAGGCTGATGTGGCCCTAAAATGTACATTAGAAATTGCTAGATCAGTGGAGACAGCTAAAGATTAATAGATTCACAGATTCCAAGGCCACAATGGACCATTGTTCTCATCTAGTCTGACCTCCTGTGTAACACAGACCAATAAAATTCCCCAAAATAATTCACAGAATAAATCTTTTTAAAAAACATCCAATCTTGATTTTAAAATTGCCAGAGATGGGAATCCACCCTGACCCTCAGTAAATTGTTCCAATCGTTAATTACTCTCACTGTTAAAAAATTACACCTTATTTCCAGTCTGAATTTGTCTAGCTTCCACTTCCAGCTATTGGATCATGTTATACCTTTCCCTGCTAGACTGAAGAGCTCATTATCAAATATTTGTTCCCCACATAGGTACTTATAAACTGTGATCAAGTCACCCCTTAGCCATCTCTTTGTTAAACTAAACATATTGAGCACCTTGAGTCTATCACTATGAGGCAGGTTTTCTAATCCTTTCACCATTCTCATGTCTCTTTTCTCCAAAACCTCTGCCATTTATCAACATCCTTCTTGAATTGTGGGCACCAGAACGGGACACAGTGTTCCAGCAGTGCTAAATACAGCGGTAAAATAACCTCTCTACTCCTACTTAAGATCCATTAACCAAGTCTTTGTATTGCGATGTTCCTTGATGGCCCTTCTGATTTTGATCTTTCTGAATGGGCAGGGGGGAAAATTCCCATGTCTGGGTTCACAAGTTCAGAGCAAACATTTTCAAAGTTATAAAGCAAAACGGAGGCATTTTCTCATAGCATGGAATACAGACATTGCAAGTGAGATTGATGCACGCGGCAACTTAGAAGCATTTCATAGAGTCTAAACACTAAATACATTCTTATAAGACTAATGCCTATTTTGAGCAAAACTAACATACAGGTGAACTGATCTGGTCTCCAGCTATGAGTTTGCCAGTTATATTTCTTATTGGAAGGGGTAGATCTGGATTGATGTTGCCTGCTTCTTTCAGTAACTGCTTGGACTACAAAAGAGTTTGGCGAGAGGTGTGAATAAAAATTCTGTTCCCTGGCACCAACTATTTCTTTTCTGTCCTCTTTGGAGTGTGTGTGTGGGGGTGCATGAGGCTGGGGTATGCCAGACCACCTTGGCAAGTTTTAAGATGACTTCATTAATAGGGAGTGGCACCTTGCTAGACTCAATGCTGTGCAAAATGTTGAGGAGTTTGTAGTGCATAGGTACCCTTCTTACTAGGTCTTGGAATTGCAAAACACAAAAATATCCCCCAATCCTCCACTCCACCCTCCAAGGATTTGACAACTCAGAATGCAACGATTTGGTGACTCCAAATGTTGGTGTCAGGGCGGGGCATCCAGATCGTCCATCACTACTGCCAGCCCTTGTGAAGGGCCAATTCACTCTACTTCAGAAGCCTGAAGCTCTTTCTTCAGATACTGTAGACTTGTAACTGGACCTGTTCTTTAGTCTAGAGTCTCACCCTAAAATAGGAAACTCTCCAAATTCTTAACACAAAGGTCAGATACTTTCCCTGGAGCTTTAATGTTGGTGTGCCTAACAAAACACACTGGGAGGGACAAGCTTGTAAACAATCACGTGATTGTTCTCCCAAAGACCTTTTCCTTGATTTACAAATGTAGCTTTTCTTAAAAAAGAAACCAATTAAAGAAATACAGGTTTAAAAATGGCAGGCTAATGTTAAATACTAGAACAAATGTAATACTTAGATGGCCGTAGTACTTAAATTCCTGAAAAATGCCAAAGCAATCTGCACCCCAAATGAAAACTGTACACAGATCACGTCATCCATTACTGAGATGTAGCCACCTCTACTGTAAAATATGGCAGCTTTGTAACAGGTGTGACAAAGTTCCTCCTCTGCCTTGGTGGGTCCTGCACTTTTTGGAGGATTTGCTCGCCTCAGAGGTTCACGGCAGCCCTCAGTTTGGCCATTTCTGCTAGAGGCTCAAACCTGCCGTTCACTCAGCTAACCTCATCACTGGCCAGCATGGGGGAAATGGAGAACAATCTCTGCAGTCTCTCTTGTCCCACCTAGTGGGTCAGGGACAGGCCAGGTCCCTTTCCAAATTCAACCTTCCCTTCTGGTGTTGCTCACAGACCAGGTCAACTCCTCCAGTGTCCGATCAGGAGTTGGGAGTATGGGGGGAACCTGGGCCCGCCCTCTAGATCAAGTTCCAGACCAGGGCCCTGTGGATAGCAGCTGTCTATGTCTCCTGTATCAGCTGCAGGACAGCTACAGCTACAACTCCCTGGGCTACTTCCCCATGGCCTCCCCCCAGCACCTTCTTGATCCTCACTGCAGGATCTTCCTCCTGAAGCCTGATCACGCTTGTACACCTCAGTCCTCCAGCAGCACACCTTCTCACTCCTTGCTCACCCTCCACTAAGTAATGGGAGGTCCCTTTTAAACCAGGTGTCCTGATTTGTCTGCCTGCCATAATTGATTCTAGTATGTCCTTAATTGGCTCCAGGTGTCTTAATTAGCTTGCCTGTCTTAATTGGTTCTAGCCCATTCCTGATTGCTCTAGTGCAGCCCCTGCTCTGGTCACTCAGGGAACAGAAAACTATTCATCCAGTGGCCAGTATATTTGCCTTCTACCAGATTCCTGTACCCCACTGGGTCTGGGTCTGTCACACAGGCAGAGTAACAGTGCATAACAATTCTTTGGGTAGAAAACTATGGGGGTTGTTCAGGAGGCAGAATTCATTACCCGACCTTAACATTTAGCCAGAATACCACTTATAAGTACTCTATGCAGAAGTAAAGGCCCGGGGATCTTTAATAACCTCAAGTCATTAGGATATCAGTTTCAGGTCTTTTTTCTTCTCATTCTGCTGAACAGTAAGCGATATATTGTAAACACCAATTTCCTGAGCTGCAGACTCTGGGCATCTCCATCACTGCAGACCTTTAAGGGCACTGCAATCTGGTTTATATGCTTTAGATTGAAGACGAAAAAAAAAAAAGAGCACGACCTGTACAATGCTGAGAGTTAAGGCTCTGATGTTGCAAGGGGCTGACCCAACTTCCATGAGGCGCTGAGTGCCCTTAAATCCCATTGGAATTAATGGGAACTATTGGGCCACAAGCTATTTCATCAGTGAAAGTCAGTCAGACTGTCCAGAAGTGCATTAAATGCCAACATTTTAATAATGCAAGTTAATGAATTATGGGCATTGACTAGAACTGTGAACCTGCAATTTTATACTTGTGATTGAATTGGAAATGTAACTGCTGTGCAACTTGTGAGAAAAGTAACCTGAACAGCAATGAATCTAGATACTCTTGCAAACCTATGAAACTATTCAGAGAGCTATGAAGCCTCAAGATGTGTTTCTTTAAGCTCTTTCACAAATGAACTACAGAAGGTTGGCAGCTTTCTCCTTAGAATATACCATTGATAGCAGGTATTTATTCTGCTGAGAAAGAATTAAGAGGTTTCTGCCAACCGAGGCAGGTAGGAGCTTGTTAATTCATCTCAACAGAAGGGAGATATAAAGGGGACCTAGACTGTGCACTGAACAGCGATGAAGTAGGATCCTTTGGATCAGCTATGCACCGGGAAAAGACTTGAGTTGAACTTGAATAATTTTTTTTTAGTAACTGTTAGGATAT